CCAGTAACTTGGATCTGTCACTTGAGGCAGGAATACATTTTTTTAACTCTTTCCTTAGTCTAACCAATGGGAAAACAAAAATCTTAACCATATAAGTTCCTCATGAGAATTTTAGGCACCTTTTTTCACTAATGCAATAAAGCAGCAAATAGATTCAACTTCTGTGCACAACTCTAAGGATAAAATAACAGAGACCATTAAAAACTTACAGTTTGGTGACTGGGCCAATATACAAGCCTAAAGAGCATTGCTGTGATTATATTAGTAGTATTCAACAAGAAAATGACACACTTAAGTTTTGTGCAAAATAAAAAAAAAAATAGGTGAGGGTGGAAATTCACTTTAGTGGCTCTTTATTCAAGGTTGCCCATTTTTTTCCTCAGTCCAGATGTAATCCCTCAAGACAGGTAAACTTGATAATTATAGTACAAATTGTACATTAAGTTTTTGATTATATTGTTTCCTTATAGAAACAATTTAGATGGACACTTTTGTGTCCATGCATACATATGCACACAGTGAATTACCACTCAGAAATTCATTTTGAAATAGTCCAGCACCTATGAAGTTTTGTTTGCCTGCAGCTGAGTATCCAGTACCAATGTGAATTTTGACCAACCCTGAGGTTAGTAATTTGTTACTATTACTGAAGCATAAATGCTCATTTTTGCCACTGTGTCTTAAACTGCTTCCGAACTGCTTTTTAAAACAAGGAAATGTCCTGGCTTCTGAAATAAGTTAAATCCCTTAGATATAGTTTCTGGTATGGAAACCAAATGGTTTTGGTTGTTGTGGTGGTAATGATTTTTTACCTGAGTGGCTCTTGCTGCTACTGAAGCTCCAAATATATTCATGAAGGCTTTTGGAAAGTCATTTGTGTTGGTCTTCCCCCCTCCTCATTTCTCTTAAAATAATAAGAACAATTGGGTTGTGGTTTTAAAATAAATATTTCCTATACCTTCTGTGACATGTATTCCTATTCATAATTCTTTACTAAATTTAGATTTTTTTATTAATCCAGTGTGACCTAAAATTTCTGCATTTATAGCACAATGTGGAATTGGGCTTATTCTCTTTGGCAGCAGATAAAGCCATCATCTTCAGAATGGCTCTTTCTGACAAAAAGGTGTTCTTTTGAAATAAAGTCTTATTCACTACATTCCTCTTAGAGTTAATGTGAATTTTAGTGCCTCTAATTTTAGATTGAAGTCAAGTCTAGAATAAAACCCACCAGCTGACAATTGAATTTATAGATAGTTGTGAATATTTCAGGCTTGAATAATAGAGCTGTAGAATTTCAGAGACAGAGAGGGAGAGAATTAAGACCGCTGTAGTTTGAGTATAATTCAGTGGTGTCTCAAAAGTGCTCAGTGTAATGAGCTAAGTAGTAATTAAGTGGCAACTGTGTTCTTTCCAAGCTCCTGTTTAGGTGTCACTCCAGCCCCAGGCAGGGTGATACCCGGGCAGGCATGAAGGCTGGGACTGTGGCTGTATTCTCTGCTGGCCCCTTAGCCTTTTCCTATGTAACTGATTTCTGTGGGAGCCTTCCTTGATTCTTTTTCAGAACTTGGTAAACACCTTTGAAGACTCTTGGTGTTGAGACATTTCTGCTCTGGACTTTGGAGGCCAACCCAACTTCCAATCCCAACTCTTCCACTCTCTCCTTTGAACTTCTTCCTTTCTAAAAATCTGAGTGCTTTCATGGTCTTTTTCTTAAAGTTGTCCCTGGAAGGAAAGGAGGCGATTTTAGTGTCATGCTGGGGCCACAGGCTGGATCAGCTCTTGGTAAATCATACCTTGGACAAGCATTGCTTCCTCCTGGGTAGAGGAAATGCATGGAGGATAGGAGCTCAGGTCTTCAGAGAAACGGAGTCTGGACAAGCACAGTTTGTAGCTTGTCAGTTTCTTTGGCTTGCTCCAGTGTCCAGACTTGGGATACTGAAGATGGTTTCAGGTCTCAAACCTTCCTCCCAGAACTCAAACTCCAAGGCTGTCCTTGCTTTCCAGGAAGGAAAGGTTAGCCCGTTTCTGCACAGCCTTGACTGAGAGTTGGGAGTCTCACTGATTGGAGGGTACGCTCAGTGCTAGGTCCAGACCAGCACTGGGTGTCCAGCCACCTGACACCTCCAGGCATGGAAGACATGGCAAATAGCTGATCTTCCAACAGGAGTGCTTTTGGCTCATGCTTATTTTAAACCCAGGAACTATGCCTGTGTCTAGAAATCCTTGAGAGAGAAAAGGCCCAGGAAAAGACAATTGGGACAGAACCAACCATGGAGGATCAAGAGTGGGAGAGCTTGATGGCAACCAACTCTCTCTGTGACCCACGAAATTCCCAGCAATGTTCAGTCTGGGAGACAGCAAGGGGAAGTGTCAGAAGCAGAGCCTTGTGAGCCGATGGCGAAAGAGTTAATTGTCACCATAGCTGTGAGAATTCAGAGCCAGAGGAAAGGGGAACCACCATGTTTTAGTACCCTAATAACTTCTAACTCGCATATAAGATCATAATATATGTGCGAGCAGTCCAGTAATTATAAGGTAATAAGTGAAGTGGTGAATGCTCTAAATTAGAAGGAATTTGCTGGGCTGCAGTAAGTCAGGGCCGACCCGCTTTCTTTCAAATGTTGACTGGAGGAAAAGTGCTTAGCCCAGAGTGCAAGCAGGGAGACACGAAGAGCGATCTATTAATTACCATGCTCATTAACAGTGATGGGACAGGCAGCAGATGCAGGGTACAGGCTCCGCCTGCAGCCTGGCAGGGGATGGGGGTAGGGTAGGGGGGAAGCCTGCTTCTGCTCCTTCTTGTGGACAATGCAAGCCAGAGGGTGAAGTTGGGGGAAGTATTTTTGTGCTTTGTTACTTGGACTTTCCTGGGGAAGAAAGCACTTTCCTAGGTGAAATCTAAGATAAGAGGCAAATTCTTGCTCTCTGGTGGCCCTTGGGACTGCCTTCCTCAAAAATTCAAACTCCCCAGATTCAAAATCCCGTGTTTTGCTTGGCTTTAAGGCAACAGGACAAGTGGGGGGAGGGGATGATGGAGAAGATCAAGGAATGAGCGCAATGATGAAATATGAGATTTATGGTGACAGAGATAATTGCATCCCGTTGGTTATTCTGAGACTACTCCCCCAAATTCTAGTGAATGGCCATTACCCAGTGGGATTCCCATAAATCAACTTTCCACTGGGAAGCAATTATTGGTGTCCCTTTCTCCACCGTCACCTCTCCTTTTGAGAGAGGTCTCTCAGAAAGTTCTTAGAGATTTTGCTAAAAGGGGTTTTGCACTATGGCAAAGCAGAGAGAAAAGGGGACCAATTCTATCTTTTCATCTAATTACCTTTTCAGAAATTTAATCACTTATGTGACAAAGAAAGTAGCAGTATGTTTCTCCTAGATAAGAGAGACCATTTGTCTGAGTATCTGCCTCCTTATATTTTCTTTTAGGACTCAGGATGTTAAACAACCCAAAAGGAGGGGAGAATGAGGGTCATCATAAATGTCATTTTTCCCCTTCAGAGCAAAATTCGATACATTCCAGATACAGGTATTCTAAGACCTGGGTATATTTTGCTGTTTTCTCTCATAAGCAATGGCACAGGAAATTAAAGGCGCACATACTTATATTTATTTATTCATCAATGCCAGCTATCATTTCATTAAGTTTTGTGGGCTCTAGGAAATCATCCTTAAATACTGAATGGAATTTCATCCTTGACATCTTTCTAAATTGCTAAATGACTATGAAATAGCGTCATTTAAATAAAGCAGCCCCATGATGGAGGCTGTGTTCTCAATGTGTCTTTCTCAGATCAATAAAAGATACAGTTATGCTTATGGAAGCATGCTGAGAATCATTAGGGAGCCAAAAAAACATTGGCTCAGTCTTCAGAATAAAAGTTTGATTTTCTCTGGAACAAAGTGCTCCAGTGTGGAAGAACAGGGGAGTGACGATCCCTGAAGGAATGATGCACACTTGGTCATTCCACTCTTCCACCAAGAAAGTCAGAACCAGACCAGAGCCCCACAGTGTTCTTTAAAAGAACAGTGAAAGGGATGGACTGATTAGAATTTTATTTATGGGCTGTCTGGTCGGGTGCTTTGATACATCCCTGTCATGCCCTTATGCTGATGACCTTCTTGTAGAACAAGCAGCATTGACCAGAGACTGGATGATGCAGAGCACCCAGCTCTTAAGTTCACATCCCCAAAACACTGTCTTTAACACTTGTATTCCTCCACCTTATTCTTTTTCCTATACTTTATTGTTATTACTTTAAAATTTTCCCCTTTATTTAAATACCTTTTTTTTTTCATTTGCTTTTTGGGTCACATTCGGGGCTGGAGTGATAGCACAGCGGTAGGGCGTTTACCTTGCATGCAGCCAACATGGCTGACCCAAGTTCGATTCCTCTGCCCCTCTCGGAGAGCCCAGCAAGCTACCGAGAGTATCTCGCCCGCACAGCAGAGCCTGGAAAGCTACCCGTGATGTATTCGATATGCCAAACACAGTAACAACAAAAGTCTCCAGTGGAGATGTTACTAGGCTCACTCAAGCAAATCGATGAACAACGGGAGGACAGTGACAGTGACAGTGACAGGGTCATATCCAATGATGTACAGGGGTTAATTCTTGCTCATGCACTCAGGAATTACCACTGGTGGTACCAGGGGTATCATATGGGATGCTGGGACCATATGGGATGCTGGGAATCAAACCTGGGTCGGCCACATGCAAGGCAAATGCCCTACAAGCTGTGCTATTGTTCTAGCCCCTAAACAACATGGTGTTTAAAGTTGCTCATGGTACATTTGATACAGGTATCCAGTATTCTAACTATTCTAACACCAATCCCACCACCAGTGCCTCCACCTATTGACTCTTGACCCCTTCTCTCTCTCTGCCACTGTCTTTCTGCCTTCCCATTGACCTGCTTTGAGACTCAGAGTGTCCCCCCCCTCATCTTCTCTCTCTCCCCCATTTGTGTTTCCCAATATTGCAGGCTTCTCTGCAGAATGTCCAACAAAGATCGACACATTGATTCCAGCTGTTCGTCCTTCATCAAGACGGAACCCTCCAGCCCAGCCTCCCTGACGGACAGTGTCAACCAACACAGCCCAGGGGGCTCCTCGGACGCCAGCGGGAGCTACAGTTCCACCATGAATGGCCACCAGAACGGACTGGACTCGCCCCCGCTCTACCCCTCCGCCCCTCTGCTTGGCGGCAGTGGGCCGGTAAGGAAGCTGTACGATGACTGTTCCAGCACCATTGTGGAGGACCCGCAGACCAAGTGTGAGTACATGCTCAACTCCATGCCCAAGAGACTGTGCTTGGTGTGCGGCGACATTGCGTCTGGCTACCACTATGGTGTGGCATCCTGCGAAGCCTGCAAGGCCTTCTTTAAGAGGACGATCCAAGGTGAGTGCAGAGTCGCCGGTCCTCCACCTTCAGTGAGTGGGTTTTTTTTTTCCTTCCCTCTGTGCCTGGTTCCATGGGTGTCAGATGCTAGACGATTGGATGGTTGGTTTGGGGACCATCTCCGGCAGCAGTCAGGAGTTCTGACCAGGTCTGCACGCTGGGTACTGTAGTGCTGAGGAAGAGACTGGGTCTCCTGCCTGCAAAAGCATGGTTCTCCAGCCCACTGCTCCATCTCTTCAGTTATCAAGTCTAGAACTGGCTGGAAGTGCAGGGTGGAGGGCTAATGATGAGCTAACATCAGTTCACCCCACACACAGGGTCTCATAATGGGGTGAAGATGAGCTCTGGGGGAGGCCAGAGAACAAACCTACGTATAGTTGCTGTCTTCTTGCGCTTTTGGATCAGGGCTTTTCCCTCTTTGCATCTTCTTCCCAGTGCCTGGAATTCAGAAAGCTTCAGGCAATGGTGATCAATGTGAGTGCTCACCTCAACCACTTGGACAGTGTGCCAAAGTGTTGGTCCCTGAACCCACCCTCAAGAGTGCCTGGTTCATGACACACACATAAGTGGTTCCAGAATTTCTCTTTCCAGCAAAATCAATTTCTGCTGCTCCAGGACCACACATGGGGAACCTCGGCTCCAGGGAAGCTGATATCTTCTCGTTCCTTCCTTCACAAAGCTTGGGTCACCTTTCCCAGACCTTTGTAAAGAATCTGCCAAAAACTTTTTCCAAAGTAGAACAAATTAACTTCTTATATGTGTAAGTCGTTCTCAAATATTTTTGAGGTCCACAGTTATAAGTAACAGTATATTCTCTGACATAAAATTAAATCTGGGCTGGAGCGATAGCACAACGGTAGGGTGTTTGCCTTGCACGCAGCCAACATGGCCGACCCGAGTTCGATTCCTCCGCCCCTCTCGGAGAGCCCAGCAAGCTACCGAGATTATCTCGCCCTCACGGCAGAGCCTGGCAAGCTACCCGTGATGCACTGGATATGCCAAACACAGTAACAACAAAGTCTCACAATGGAGAGGTTACTGAGCCCGCTTGAGCAAATCGACGAACAACGGGAGGACAGTGACAGTGAAAATTAAATCTGCGTTTGCCCCTTCAGCTAATAATTACAAATCCTCCAACCCTCCCTTCCTCCCTGTGTCCCCTTCCTCTCTCTTTCTTTTTCTTTCCTTCTTTCTTTCTTTCTTTCTTTCTTTCTTTCTTTCTTTCTTTCTTTCTTTCTTTCTCTTGCAAGCCCATTACTTTTCCATAGCTAGGGTGGAAAAGTAATGGGCTTGCAAGAGAAAGCCTAGCTCCAGAATGCAACTCATCTTAAAAGCTATTTCTTTAGCTTCCCACAGAAAATACTTCTTTGGAAAATGTTTACAAAATAGTTGTTTAATATGTAAAATAGCATTGTATTTTAGTGCTATTTGATAGTTAAATAATTCAATATAATGAATTCTCTCTCAGATTCACAGTATTACACTGAGGAAGAAACTAGGGGTCAGGGAGAATTATTGTTGGTAGAGGACTCAGCACAGTCATGATTCTGTTCTGCTAATTGTTCTGTTTTACTGTTTTTGATTTTTGGACCACACCCTGAGTTGCTCAGAGTTTACTCTTAGCTCTATAGTCAGGGATTGTTACTGGCAGGATTCAGGGGACCATTTGGAGTATCAGCATCAAACCTGATGCCCCAAATGCAAGGCAAGTGCCTTATCACTACCATCTCTCTGGCCTCAGTGCTCAGTATTTTAAGATGTCAGAGTAGGTACCGAGGCCTGTTTTTCTGGCATCAACAGAGAATAGAAGAGAAGCAAGTGTGGGTATGGGGGCCTGCTACCTTGTTCTGCTAATTGCAACCTCTTCATATGTTATGACTCAGCATGTAGTTGTTTTATTAACATTTTCTTCTGGAAATCCTTCATCCATTGGCTCATTTTATTCCCATATTTTTACCTTGAGGCTGAAGATATTACTCCATCCTTGAGGGCTTGAGGATACAAGGAAATGTCAAATCCCAGAGCCAGAAGGAAAACAAGAAGACAATAAGACTCACCTTTATTTGGGGTCACTTGGGACAGACATCCCTGCAGCCCTTTGCAAAACTAGAGAATGAAAATCCATCTCAGATCCTTGGTCCTCACCAGCCTGTGTGTCCAGTGGTGCCATGATACTCATGTCACAGAATATCTGATATGTAAATGTTAACAATTGGCTTTTACTTACTCTGAGACTAACTGCACAGAAATAAGCATATCTCGTGCGACTGATGATATGTGTACACTGTAAGAGGGACGGCATGTGAAAGCAGCCCCCTATAATCCACTGGTTGGAAACTGCTGGGCTGGTCAGCATTGCTGGCTGCAGTTCCATTTTCTCAACTTCTGGGAAACTTCATTTCCAAAGTGGTGTGGGTTGAGTGTGTCCTTCCCCCAACATCTCCAGTCCTGACTTGTCAACTCCCCCACCCCCACCCCCTCCCTGGTGCAGGGATTAAACTCCTTGGTTCTCAGGATGTTTCTAAAGATAGAACTGCGGTGTGAAAAAAATTATCTGACAGTTGTTGCTTAGATATTAATAGTTCTGCAACAGTTATTTACTGAGCATTGGAAGAGAACAATTGGGATTCCTTGCCTGTGGTTCCCCAGCTTGCTGAAACTCTCCCCAAAGCTGAACAGAGTGAAGCACAGGGTGATTCGTGGCATTGATATATGTACTAAGTTCGACTCTGCATTTGGAGAGGTGGTGTTCAGGAGTACTTGAGCCCTAAACAGAGATGTTACTGCCCAGATTAGCACTCTTCACTGACCTTCCTAGCTGAGCCCAGCGCTGGCAGCTGGGCAGACCTCGGATACGCAACTAGCATCTGTGGGCAGCCTGCTGTGGGGCTGTGTGCTTAGCCCCCAAAAGGCAGTGAAGCAAATAAAGGGATTACATGGTGGCTGTCTAATGTAATAATTAGGGTGGTAATTGTAAGGAAGATTGGAGCAGGCCTTTCTTTCCATGGCCAAATAATCATAGTGATTGAACTCTGAAGAAGTGAGAGGTGGCCCTAAATCTACTATCTTGATTTCTATTATAAATTCTAAATCTATTATCTAGAATCTACTATCTAGATTATCTAGATGTCAGATCCTCAATTCCAAGACACAGAACCTAGGCACAGGCCTTGGGCAGCAGCACAGCCAAATATTCTTGGTGGTAGCTTTTCCTGTTCTGTCTTAAAGTTCTCCAGGGAATGAAGAGGGGGTGCTGTAAAGATCTTAAGAACATTCTGTCAGGGCCACAGAGGAGAGAGAGAGCACAGAGGCTAAGGCACTTGTCTTCCATGTGACTGACCCCAGCGACATCCCTTGCACTGCATATGCTTCCTCATGCACTGTCAGGGTCATTCGTGAGCCCAGAACCTGGAATAGTCCCTGAGAACTCTGGGTATGGCCCAAACTATCTCCTCTCCAAATAAAAATAATAGCAATAAGGAACATTCTATTGTCTCACTTAGGGACATTAGATAATGTGAGACTTTATCTCTCTCCATTCTCCCTGACTTGACTAAGGGAGATGTTCCCCAAAGGCACCTGACAGAGGTGGGCTGGGAGCCAGATTTTGCCTTTAGTAAGTCTTTATGTCATGTAATAATAATTTATTTCTAAGGTGGATTTTAACATGTAGCATGTAGCTAACATTGGGCACAATACTTGTGAAATGGAGAGGTCCAGGAATACATCCGAACACACCTTATGAAAGTGATGAGATGGTTCTTTTTGAAGTTGATTGTGATTTTTCAGTCATGAAAGGTGATGAGTCATAGATTCCAGTGAAAATCAACCAGAAAGGCATATTTCAGTGATGGAATAGATAACAATTGAATTAGCTCAGCACTCAGGGAGTCAAAAGTTAAGGATTTCCCCCCTTTTCTAGAGTTTCTTCTTCACCATTGTTAGAGTTGGAATGGTGCCAAGGGTTTTGTCATCATTCTTGGAGCTTATTATTTATGTGTTTGTTTTGTTTGGAGGATCTCACCCATAAAGCAGTGCTCAGGGGTCTTTTTGGCAGTGTTTGTGCAACATTACAATGCTGGGATCAAACCCAGAACTCCAGCATGCAAAGCACATGCTTATCCTTGTGAGCCTTTTCCCTGCCCCCAATGCTTATTATTCATTATTAAGCATAGGATACCATTATTTGCATCTTTTTCTAATTTCCGTTTCGGCCTCAGTTCTTAAATGAGTACATATTTGGGCTTTGGGGGTAGGCTTCTGTTTGAGCATTTTCCCTTGGACTCTTGTTATGGAGGGAAAGATATCTACTCTTATACTGCCCTCCCAGACAACACATAGTTTATTATTCAATGTTGAAAACACTAAACACTAACCCCTGACATTTTCTTCTATCTATGAGTGAGAAAAAGTAAAATATATATGATTTATGTATGTATGTGGATAGACCCAGGACAGGAGCTCATTGGTTACCCACATGCCCATTCTGTGCATGTGGGGAAGTTTCTAAATCACAGTGCCCCGCTGCCAAGACAAATCTATCCTGTTTGCTTATACGATGCAGATGCCTTCCAGTGGGCAGAGGGCATTAACCACCACTTCCAGACAGCTGCCCTTGGCCGTGCAGGAGGATCAGCTCCAGGTGAACTTGTGTCCAGGTCTGCTGCAGGCCTTGCAGTGTGGTGGCCACCATCTACAACCTAGGGCCTTCTGGTGGTAAACTGATAAGAGGCTTTATCTAAACTTGAACTTAAAACATTTAAGTGGAGGCATTTGCCTTTGGATACAAGTTTGATGTCTTTTTCTAAGGTTTGCAGCTACAGCCCATAGCTCTTATCTCCACATCTGGATCCTTCTGGAAGCCTGGGGTGATCCCTGTGCCTTTGACTTCCTCTTCTCATTGTATGTTGTTTGATCTTAGAAGAGAATATCAGTAGCTCCAGAGAATAGTTGAGTGTCTTGGGAACTTCCAAAGGAAAAATATGAAAATGTTATCTCTT